CGGGCGCGTCGTCCATCACTCGTGGCTCGGATAAATCGCGGCCGACCGCGCGCATCGCGATTCGCGAGCTCGCGCCGAGACGCGATTGCGCGCGAATCTTCGCGAACGGAAGAGCCGGCCGTGAGCTCGCGCGCGTACGCTACGCGAATATAAGGCGCACAGAGCTGCCGCTTCTATTTCTTACGCGCGAGAACGCGCGAATTCCGCGCGCAGCTGCGGCACCAGCAGAAAAGAGCGAGGCAAAGCCGCGAACGTACCTGAAAAGAACAGAAGAGTGGCAGAAAGAGGGAGAGAAAAAGTCTGCGTGGGAATAAGGGAAAAGGTGTACGTACACATATCTTCCAGGCCGGAGCAGTGGCGGCTTGCAAAATTAAAGTTTTCCCATACCTTCTGTCGCGTGTAACCCACACCACCAACAAGACGGACAATTGCGGAAAACTAGCGGAGAAAGAGAGAGAGAGAGAGAGAGAGAGAGAGGGAGAAAACTTTTGCATGGGTTTCTCTCTTTCCTGCGTAAGTGAATTGCTCTTTACACCCCGAAGCACTTTGGAAGTACAGAGGGGATTTTGTTCGTGCATCCCAATAAAAATTACGTTCGGCAAAGTGTCTCCCCGTGCGCGTACTTCGCTTTTCTTTTCGCCCCGTTTGACAAATTTCAAGCGACGTACTTTGCTCTCGCCTCATGTAAAACCGACGGATAATATCGATTGTCACACTCGCAGTCATATTTAGACCCTGCTTGACAATTCGCTAATGGCTTATAATTGACGTGAGCTTGCTAGCTAAGGAGACGAATTTCGACGCTTTCCAATCAGTAAGTTATAAATTCAAGCTATTCCGAGAGCGTGCTGATCATTTTCCAATAGTTGTCAAGCTTCACCTTAATCAATCACTCATCTTTGTCAATGTGTTTCTAAAAGAGAATTTTAGAACGTTTTCCATTGCGTTTAATAGTGCACGTTGTGTTATTTGGACGATTTATTCATTGAGTCAAATATTGATGTAGCATCAACCGCCGACCGTCAGACTATCAAATATAAAAGTATTTGCCGAGTGTTCAGGAAAAAGAGGAATCAATTGCATTCAATCTTTAAATTCAAGAAAAAGAACAATGAATTTTCTTTCTCCATTCCCAAATCCCATTATTTTCCCGAAGAATGTTCAATCTCGACGAAAATTACAGCTCGCCCAAACAAAATTTTCTCGTAGATCTCCATCAGCGACCTTTTTCTTTCCCTTGGAACCAGTGAAAGAAGATTCTCTCACGTGCCATCAGTCGAAGGAACGGGAATAGTTTCAACTGGATTGTCGATAAGTCAGCGGGACGAGGATAGGAAACGTTAATTTTGAGTATACATCGGCTTTGCCGCACGCATTTACATGTAGGTATACACGTGCTTCACGTGTACGCGAACCAGGTACATATTTAAGCAGGCACACGGCGCACTGTTCAAATTCGCTGCGCGCCTCTAATTGAGTGTGCGTACCATATACACGAACATACCCTTTTTTCGCTTCTCCACACGGATATCAATTATTTCGACAATTGCAACAATGGAAAAGCTTCGGCTTTTTCTATTGCTCTTTTTTCTTATTGTTTTTTGTTTTTTTTTTCTCCCCGATTACGGACCGAAGGAGAGGAAACTGTTGGATTTCCAGCAGAGCTTGCGAAAGTAATTAAAGATTCCCGGAAGTTATAGCGCGATCGCGAGCTTGTTTGCAATGGATAAAAAAAAATTCATTGCGATTGCACTGTCGGCTTTCAATTAGTTTGGATAAAAAAATTCGCCGTGTATTCGCAGATTTCTCACGTAACTAGGCTGGCAATTTTCTTTGTAATTATTGAAACGATTCGAAAACTTCACTCTCGACAGGCCACGTCGAAGTTTGCGAATTAATTAAAAGTCACTTTTCTCCGACTAGCAAGTAAAAAAAAATTAACTTCACCGCGAAACTCGTAATTGACGACAATCAAATAAGCTCATTATTTACTCTCGATCTTCGCTCGGGGACTAACGAAAATCAGAGTATACGAAGTGAGCTCCAATTATAACTTACCAAAACTTGCGCACGAGCGAGTGAAAAGAAGAAGAAAAAAATGAAGAAAAAGAGGCGCTCATGTGCGGCTGGAAAAGAGTCAAAGTGCAGCGGACGCGAATTGCAAAGTCGAAGCACGTAGCTATATACAAGCAAGCTCTCGCTCCCGCGCGAGATCGTTGAGTGCAACTTGGTAATTTCGATTTCGGTTAGGGCGCCGCGCACTCTATACTCGGACGCGCTGGCTGAAGTATATAGCAAATTTTACGATGGATATCGCTTAAACCTCTCTCTCTCTCTCTCTCGGCTTTTATAGCCTGCATTACGTAAATCCGAAGGATATTGCCGAAAGGGGGGACGGCGCTAAGAAAAGATGCCAGGCCTTTCAATTAACTTGTTCCCTTACAGATAGGAGTCAGGATCGGAAGGGCTATCGATTGCCGTTATTGCCATGTTTCAATTCGTGAGCTTTGCGTCAGACTTATTTACCAGATTTGCCACCGTGTGCGTTGTCTTAATGCGCGACGCAAGCTTAGCAGATTGGTAGACAGAAATTCTTTTGAAAATGTATCCTTCGGTTCGGTCAAAGCACGGCTGCTTTCGGAGTTGGATTCCTCGATTTGAATATTGCATTTATTTTTTGGATGGCTACCCTAACGGAAATCCAATAAAGCTTCGAATACTCACCATGAAAATCAAATCTCCAGGGTATTAAGATCATTGATAAATATCGCGCATATTTCATTGGATCATTCGGTCGGGTCCGCACTAGAGCTCCCGGATTGTGGTCCAATCAGTCAGGCGCGAAAGCTCAGCCGTCGCCTCGCGAAGATAAAGATGACATTAAGAAATGCCATCGCGAATGAAACGCGCGCGGCAATATTTCCGAACGAGAGGAAAATCCGGCGAGTCGCGCCTCGCCGTCCGAAAGGATTTTCAATTTTCCATAAAGGCAGCTCGCAGCTGCCGTCGCCGCACGGTGAGCGTGTGCGCGCGCAAGACGGTATTGCCGTGGCATTTCGCTTTTCCGAACAAATTACTCGCGCGGCTGCTCGTAAAGCCAGTTACGCGGGAGTAACTTTCGGGACGCGCAAGACGCACGCGTTTGCGGTTGCTGCTGCGGGGGCCAACGCTGTATGTGTAATGTTTCGCCTGCTGCCGGCGCGAGAGACGAGCTGTACCGTCGCTATCTGCAGCGCGCCGTGTTCCCCGGCGTGAACTCGATGAATTGGACACGTCGCGTGGGTTACGATCTCGCCGGCTATACAGCACAGTGCCGGACTTTAGGACCACTTCGTGCCTTGTTTCCAGCGGCCGGCAAGCTGCCACCTACGCCCGCGGAGAAACCCGCCCGTTCGCGCTTTTTTCGCAGTTAATGCTCCGTTGCCTCTCTTTTTCAGCCCTTTCGCGAGTTATCCTCCGACTCCACAATGGAATTTCAATCGAGCCTGCACTTGCTGCTTTTTTGCCGGAAATGCTATTGGTCGCACGAACGAATCTAAATGAAAAGTAAAAATGCACGTTCGACCCAAGTGCAAGCAAAAACTAGCCAAAGGAGTAGTGAGCTTAAAATAAATTATTGATAAATTGTCTGCCAAAATACGATCGGAATGTTATCATCTCTGCCTTCGTAATAGCATCTCTTCGTTTTCCCGTACAAACTTGACGTACTGCAGAGCAATCCCAATACGTAAATGCAGTTAGCGGAGAGAAGAGCACGAAAAATAAAAGGAGTACAACTGGCTCGTAAGGGCACGCGACGTTAATAGGGACTCGCGTTCAAATGCAAAGACTCAGAGCGAATCCAGAAAAGAGAAAAACGTCAGGACAAATCCTCGCTAAATAAGCTCGAAGACAAGCCATAGCACTGCACGGGAAAGACTGTGTGCTAGAGGCAGGGAAAGAAAAGAGCGAAACCCTTAAGAGCAGGACCAGAGGGAAAAGAAATAATCTCGTAGTGTTCCTTACAAACGAGAAAATCAGAAAACTTCGTTAGCCCGCACGCGTGCTCACACTTCCTTGGACTTTGTTTTCATTAGAAGGAAAACGAGAGAAATTACGTGGCGTGATGCCATTCTCGTCATCATGCAGATTTTATACGAGAAATATGCCACAACCATGTCGCTCAAACGATAGTTTATCTTATAATCGACGGTTTCATACAACAGATATGCTTGTCGCGAACAGAGGATACACCAATGCTAATAAAATAAATAACGTCGTCAAAATTAATTCGGTAATATTCGCCGGTTAGTTACGAACGACATTAATTTTATTTGCCAGCAACAACACTTGTCGAAATATTGTTGAACAGTCGCACCAGCAGTACCAGCAGTAGCAGCAGTTCACATTTATAATTGATCACGCGACTGCTGGTGATATTCTAACAGCGCTATGCTTTCAATTAACGTCGCAATCGTCAGTTCGCCCTCAAATTCCAAATCGACCTCTGAATAATACAAAGTTGTCAAATACGTCGAGACGAATTTAATGGTATGCAATCTTCAACACAGTATCAGAATCGGTTTTCGATGCACAACGATTTCAATTAATCGTTCGCGCGCGATTTTCAATCAATGACAATTTCAAACTCAACGGCGCCTTGTGCGACGCGTAAGATCGCCGCAGCATCCGCCCAAAACGAGCGGAAGAGGAGACGGCTCGTATAAAGATAGGCGACAATGCACGCGACAGTGGCTGGCGTGCGCGCCAGGCATCAGCTGTGCGCCGCGTGAATATATATATCTACACACACACACACACACACACACACACATACGAAGCTGCGCGAGTGGGTCCGGGAACGTGGAACTTGGCGCGCATCCGATCGTCACGTATGCACTCTCTCCGCGCAGCATCCATCGCGCGCGCCGCCGCGGCGGGGGAGACCCTCAGACCGTGCCGGCATGAGCAAAAGCAAACGCGCGCCGCCACAGCGACCTTAGTGTAGCCGGACAGTCGAGCGCGAGTGCTCGGGACGCGCGGACGTGCCTTCCACGTTACGTTCGTGCTTCGCTCCTTGCGACACGCGTTTGTTGTTTGTATCCCCCCTCGTCGTTGTTTGCTAACACTGCCCAACATTTTGTGTTGCGATACAGCATTGGTGAGTGTGTGTTGCGCGTGAACGAGCATCGCTGCGATTTGGAAATTCCTTTCTATTAAAGTTGTCGCGTTTGGTGCTTAGTTTTTTTTATGAATGCTGTAAATTTGGCGGTGTTTGTTGGCGACGCGTCACTGTACTTTGGAGGCGCAATTGTGTCTAGAAAGGAGGTTGACAGCTCGATAGGTTGCATCGTTGGGGATGGAGATGGGTTGTCATGCGTGTCGGACGTAAACATAACCTAATTCCCTGCGACGATGCGTATATTGTGTCTCTTTCTTCTTTTCGGCTATATATAAGCATTCGGTTTTCATTATACGTGCATTGTTCAATCATTCGATCGTTGTACAAAATCTGCTTAATGCGTTCCCAATTTTATAATCGATAAATAAACGAAGGTAATAAACACTGATACGTCTGGTGCTATTTTAAAGTACATGCTAATGAATTGGTTCCGGAATTGTTTAATACTCTCCAGCTTTATCGTGCCATTCCGAAAGCTCGCGCCGATAGTAAATTAAAACATTTTGAACACGAGCACACGTTCTCTCCAACAAACAACCGAGATCATTTACAATCGGACTCTTGTTTTCATTAATTAAGACAAGACAAAATAAATGATAAAGCGTTCTTAATTTTCTGTTTCCACTTCCGGGTTCAACGGCAGAGAGTTTCCATTTTCTGCAAATAACTCACGAGAGAGTGTGCGCGTAGAGCAGCAACCTTGAACTCCTCGAGAGGGGCACTGCTAATAAAGGCCGGTTATACCCAGACGAGTCAGCAGCGCACCACGTGCTTCGCAATTTTCGACGGCGGCAGAGAAGGAAAGAAAGGAGACCACCGCTTCGGGCTATCGAGCAGGGACATTTTTTTCCCGTCACCCTAGTGCATCATCGTCGTCGTCGTCGGTGAGTTACCCCCTACCGCCCCCCCCCCCCCAGTACCCTGCTTTTCTATTTAACCCATAGGAGGGGTGCGAGTCTTGCTGATTTGGCACTGCGTCGCCGTCGTTAAAGCGCTGTTTTCACACGTTTAATATTGATGATGTCGCGCGCGTGTCCATAAATGCCGAAGACCTTTCCTATATTCCGCATACTGAAAAATTGCAAGCCTACAGATACACGCCTCCCTTCATTTTATTCTTAATTCCATTTTTTTTTTCTTCCGGAGGGTCGTTTGTTATTGCTTGCGCTTGACGAGCGCGCGCCTTACTCTTCTGACTTTTTGAAGTCTCGCGATAGTTTGTCACACAGGGCGCGTTCATTATTCTCGGCTTTGTGTACACGTGGCGAAGTGCCGCTGCCGTGAAATTCTCTCTTTTTTTTTCTTTCTTTTCTTCGTCCCTTTTTAACTCTCGAATGCACACGTGAATAAAACTTGCGCCTGGAATGTCCTTTGTGACGTTAAATATGAATGAGCATACATAATGTGGCTGTAGCTTAGTCCGTGAATGTTGAACTTGGATTTTGCTGAGAAAGAGTGCATCAACGACGACGAGAAAAGAACTTTGTACGCTGTGATTGTACATTATGTTACCTCTATGTCCTTCGAGAGATTAAGGCTATTATCGTCGTTCGACGTAATATTCATTAAAAATAAATAAATAAATAAATAAGGTTATCGTTTCATCCGCTTCAATTCGCAAACTAAAGTATCGCAATAATGAATCAGCCAGTAGCAATAGCAATAAAGATGAGTATTAAAAACCAGCTCAGGCTTAAACATTCGAGACTTGTAGCCGGCTAACATTGTTTGCCGATCAATCTGCCATCAAGCCTATCCCCCTTGAAAGTACGTCAGTAGGCGCGCAGGCGACTTGATCGTGTGCACACGCGCATGCACACTCGACTACAAGGAAATCGAAACAAACTCTCTCTCTCTCTCTCTCTCTCTATCTCTATCTTTATCTCTTTCGCGCGCGCGTAGGGCGTTATAAGCTTGACAGAGCAATCATAATACGAGCACGAGGCGCGGCAGCCAAGTGCGCGCGAGAATTTCGCTCTCTTCGCGCAAACAGGCTATTTGTTCTGCGAGCCGAAGGTACATACACCTGCGCGACCAGGCAAATGTTTGGAAAGAATCCGTTTTCCATTCCGCCCCTGCCGCCGCCACGATATTACGTATTAAATCGCTGTCTTTATGCTTTGAACTCGACCCGTTCTCGCTTTCTGTCGGCACGCCGACTGTGGAAATATTCTCTGCGTGTATTTTCTTGTTTTCTTCAACAGACAGATCGCTCGGGCGCGGCAAAAGTTTGTTTTTGTTTGGTTTTTTTTTAATTTTTGTTTTTTTTTAATAAATTGTCGAGCGTGAAGTTCTGCCAAAAATTCAAATGTCGACGTCGAATAATTTTGACCGCCGTGGAATGTCGCTGTAGTTTGATTTTGTTGCGATTGCGTGAGATTATTCGATGTGCTAGGCTGTTCTTCGTAAACGAAACGAGCGGTAAAACGCGTTGCTTCTACAATGAAAACAGAGGCTCGATAAGACGGCACGTGGATACAGGCAACGAAGTTGGATCGCGATCTTCGCCGGGGAATTCAATTGAGCCGTGACGGCGTTAAGGTGTCGTTCAATTCCCGAGCAAAAGCGGCGGCGAGCAAACGGTTGACAAAACGTCGCACGACAAAACAAAATGACGGGACGAAAATGCCGTACTGGCCCCCCGGAGGCTAACGACTTTGTTGTTAATTGAGCCATCTCCGAAAACAGCTCGGCGAGAAAGTCTGTCGCCGGCAGCAGCGCAGCGATACAGTGCAAACTTGCCGACTCCCCATTCGCCAACTGTAAATGTTTACGCCCAAGTTGAGCGACTCGGAAATGAGGCGCACCATAGGTTGCTTCGGCATCGACTCACTTCCTTGGTAGAAAGAAAGAAAAAATAGAAAGAGCCGAAGCGCGTTCGAACTACTTCGGCTTCCTAAACAAGAATTAACGGATTCAATGAAGACACGCCGCAGCGGCAAGTTTGCCGCGAAGCGCCGCCTTAGTGGTGCAACGATAATTCCCCAGGGCACTCAAAGTTGCGCGCGAGAGAGATAACGCGATAATCGGCAAGTTTGTAATGCAATTTAATGCCAGATGGCTGTATGCAGCGAATTATATGCGGCAAAGGGGGTTAATATGGACCTCGCGCCCGAGCTGCTGCCTGCCGCGCGTGACAGATGCAAATCCTTCATTATTTCTTTTTTTTTTCCATTGTTGCCGCGGAGTAAATCGTCCAGGAGTTGATAAAACGGAGGATTTATCGAGTTTGAGCGGCAGTAAATTTTGATAGAGATAAGGCGAGCCCTCGCAGCGGAAAAGGGATTACAAAAAAAGTTTGTCAGAAGTTCGCGCGCGCGAGAGGGATTAACTTAAATAAAGGGCCATACCGACGACGACGGAACCTTATATTCTTTTCTCGACTCGGTATAGGCGAGCTTCCTGTATTTACGCCAAGACGAGATGACAAAAACACTCATCGGATTTGCCAAGTTTTTAAAGCGCTGCTCTCCTTTCTTTTTTCACTTCTCGGCCAAATGGGGTGTTTGTTATTCAGTTTCAAGTGGCTTCTCTGTTTTTTTTTATACCGGCGCTGCTGCTCCTCAGCGGTCAATCCGAAAGAAAATAAACTTTTGAGCTTCAATAGGGTTTCATTGCTCTAATTACCGGAAACGGCTTTATTTTTTCTTATTGTTGCCCTTTCAAAAGTTGCAACAGCCATGACGACGCGATAAATATGGATTTTAATAAAATGGGAGAGACGATGCTGTTTTCAACCGCGTTCTCGTTGAAACTCCCAACGAACAAAGCGAGAAGTTCATTTATATAGTGCGCTTGTACTTTTTACATTTACATACTGTCATTTCAGACTTGTGATTTTCCAAACAATGATATGCGGTTGATCGCTGAGTAATTCTAGAGATTTTATTGTTAAATATTATAAAAAGGTTATGACAACAGAAAGCAGAATGAGAGCAGGTCTCGTTACAAGCGACCCTGGCAACGGACCACTGTAGACTGACTTACTAAGGGCTTCGCAGGCAGCTTAACTCGCTCAACTCATTCTCTCGACTATTTAATGGGCGCGAACAAAATTCAAATTCAAATAATGAAAATGCAGTTTTTTTCACGTCAAAAAATAATATCTCAATACTGGAGATAGACGAAAAAACTGACATGTTTATTGTCAACATTGCGAATAAAACCGTGATTTTTATTTTGCATTTTTGACGACGTCATTCCGAATTTTGTTTGCCGCTGCAATCAAAAAGTACTATACAAAGATTTCGAGGTCACATTAATCTTTTTCATTTCAACGCAACGACGAGCTCTCACAAAAGTTCTTTGGCACAATGCAGCCATTATAAAAATAAAAAAAGGCACTAACTATTCCAAATATTTGTTGTATCTTTGAAAATCCGTTACGAGCAACAACCGTATCCCAAAAGAATTATCATAAAGACTACTTTTCGGCCGTGTAATTGATATCGTCTGACGAATCTTTAGAGATTGCCGAATGAAGAAACTATATATCTGTTTTTTCCGTGTTCGGGAAAATTCTCTGGAAATGAGGCATATGCAAAGGAGATAAGAAGTCTAAGGCAAACATGCAGCTAATAATGCGTTCGCTCTCTGGATGTTGAAAAAGTTTGAAAAGTCACGTAGACCAAGAGGAGGTGTGTGCACGCTTCGCCTTTTCTCTTTTCTATCTCCCTCGAACTTATTTTGTGTTTACATATCTATGTCCGTATCTTACTTTCGTCTTCCTTTTCCTTCGCACTCTTCTTTTGCCTTTCGCCTTCTACCCAATCGTTTATTCACCGCTTTATCTTACTAACTTCTAGTAGTATGACTAGGAGTGTGCATGAAGATAATGTTTTGTAACAAATGTTGTACTTATTGTGGCGATGCCAGTGTATAATTAATGACAATGACGTTTGATCATTGCAGGAATTCACAAGATGCATTAAAAAATTATTCAGCAATTGTTGTCTACAAATCAACTACAGTAGTTATCCTCTATATTTTCAAATTTATGTTTGCCTAGAACACACTAATAGCCGTTGTCTTACAACCCAAAAAGAGCGCTCGGCGAACCTTCCGGAAGAAGCGTCGAAGTGAAAAAAAAACAGAGCACGGAAAAGCTGACTTCGAAATAAATCCTTATGCATGAATGCAATACACGCGAGAAAAGCCAAGAGAGAGAGAGAGAGAGAGAGAGAATGAAGCTCCAGTGATCTCCATGACAATATACTCCGGCATGCGCGTATTCTAGAATGTTCAATAGCCAGAGCGCTGTCTGGAGGAACAGCAGCTATGCCGCGATACGCCGGTCGGAGAGCGGCGCAATGACACCAGTGGCGCGGACGGACGCTGCGCTGCTGGCGAGCGTGGCGCGCGCCGCTCTCACAGCTGACGAGCAGCCAGCTGAGAGTGGCGCGCGGAGGGCGTTTTATCGGAGCGCAGGCGCTCTCGACCGTTTCCTTTTTCGGGCTTCGCTTGCCCCCGCGGATCGTTTACGATCGCGCTCTCTTACGATCGGGCAACGGCTGACTTTCGTCAAAGTCCGCGGGACCGTGTGGTCTGCCTCGCGACGTGGCACTCTTCATCGCGCGCTTCTGGAACAGCCGGCCAAATATTTACGCTCGCGCCGTCTTGACGACGTTCGTTTGGTCGCGGACCGGCGGCGCGCTTACATTTTTCGATGGCAAGCTGTGCACCGAATACTGCAGATTCGAGTGAAGTGTCGGAACGAATACGCTCAAGCGATACTTGAATTGGAATGGCTATCGTCACGCGCACTCGAAATCGTCGATAGAATTCGTAATTACGCCACGATAGGAAGGTAAAAAAAAGACATAAAATTGAAAGCAAGAAGCTCTATCTTCATAACCAACAGCAGCAACTTTCAGCGCGTACGCGA